TATTATGTATTTAACCTGTATTATTGATAAGCTTCACAACAACCCTGGAAAACAGTTACTGTCAATCTTCTTTTTTCATGGATTCCATATTTGCAAATCAACTACTTGCTAAAATTTATTCGTAACCCCAAAATCAAAACTCATAGTTCTTTTATGGTCATTCACAGACATGTAGAGAGTGGGAAAAAATTTGGGTCACCCAATGCACATGTAACCAGCTGAGGTCAAACATAGCAATGATCTGACTTTTTGTTTCAGTCCACATACTACAAACAAGTTCCTTTTTATGGCCAATTTAATCCCCAGGTTGGTTTTGTTTGTTTGTTTCATTGTTTTTAATGCTTTTTGTTGGTGATTTCATGGTTTGAAATGTTCCCCAGCACAGTGCTGAAGGACTATCTAGTATTCCTAAACTCAAGAAGACCATCATGTGCCTTAGAGAGAAAATGTATGTATTAGGAAAACTTTTTCTGGCATGAGTTATAGTTTCTTAGCTGTGAGTTCAATGTTAATGGTTAATAATTAAAAATTATGTCTTTTAGGGTGTCTGGGCAGTTCAGTTAAGCATTCGACTTTGGCTCAGGTCATCATGAGCTTGGCAGTTCAGGAGTTTGAGCCCCATATTGGGCTCTCTGCTGTCAGCTCAGAGCCCGCTTCAGATCCTCTTCTGTCCCCCCCACCTCTACCTCTCCCCCTCTCTCTCTGTTTCTATCTCCCTCTCTCCCAAAAATAAACAAGCATTTAAAAAATTATGTCTTTTAACAGTAACACACATAAAACAAGGTCATGCATTAACTGGTTGGTGAAAATGGTATAAACAGATTCTCAAAGGAATTTCATCCTGTATTTTCCATAGGAGTAAATTGTTCATTATTCATTAATTCAGTGTTTTATGCAACTTTATATAACTGCCATGAATAATGAGATTAGACCATACTACTATTTCTTCTTTATTTCTTATTTTGATATGAATAAATGAGGTAGAGAAATATTAAGTTATATGTTTGAAGACACCAAGATAGTTATTAGACAAGCTGGAATTTTAACTTGTATATGACTTATTTAATTCTGCCAAGCCTTAAAGTTCCAGTGTGTGCATTGCAAACTCAATCCTCTACTGATAGAATGAGACTCACTACACATTTTCCCAGGGGCTAAAAAATAAGTTAATGGACATGCTTTCCACTCTTTTTCTTTCTCTCTCTAAATTGGATGTTCTGAGTTGTATGTGTGTGTGTGTGTGTCTGTGTGTGTGTGTGTCTGTGTGTGTGAACAATGTAAATTTCCCTAATATTATTATGTTATTCCCTTATTAATTCCTTCAACAAATATTGGAACCTCTACTATGCTTCAAGACATAATAGTCTTTCAACAAGCTTAAACTCTACTGCTGAAAAAAAGCACTGGAAACAAATAAACAGAATATTATGAGAGCTGTTACAATGTTATGTGAGAGATATACTATAAGCAGAGATATTTACAAGGTTTCAAGAGGCCAAACAATTAGGAAAATTTTGAATTATGCTTGGGATTTGATGAGAAGACTTTTGAGTAGAAGGGAGTTTTGAGCTGGATCTGGAAGAAGCTTGCATCAGAATTGGAAGCAGAAAGGATAAACTACATAGAGGATGAACATAGTGAGACAGAGATATGGCAAAGCACCAGGGTTCGGAAAAGAACGTCTGGAGGGAAAAGACTTTTGGAATATCTTTTTCTACCAGTGTCCAAAAATAAAACTACTACCATGCTTTATAATTCCAAAACATACAAACACACTTTGCTGTTTCCCCAACTCTAACAGGTTGTAGCTACTCTATCTCATGCTCATCAATGCATCAAATCAATCTTGTGGTGAATCCAGCATTACTAGGCATTTTAACTAAAATGTCTTGCTCATAACTACATTGAAAAGAATGTATTTTCTTTAAATAGTTTTGGTTAATCTTTCTTTGGTCTTTGCTCACTTCCCAGTTTAAAAAAAGATGAGAAAAAAACATGTATTACCTATGTAAGCACTAATTTCATTGTTAAGATTCTATGTGAAATCTTGTTTGAGGAGGGGGGTGTTCTGGAGCTCAGCTGAGATCCAAAGATGGATCAGGAAAATGTCTTTTTCAAGGTTTAGTTAGTGAGTAGTGAGTTCTAATAATATTAGATATAAAGAGATGCAGGAAAGAAAGTGCTATGAGAATTCAGAGGCCCAGAGTATCAAAAAAATTACTTTAGACAACTGGGACAGACAAATCCAGTCTGAAAGCCCAGAAGAGGCAAAGATCAAGGGCTAAAAACATACAGTGCATTAAAGAAGCGGGAAGTGGTTCATTTGGCACAAGTCTGTGAAGAGGAAGAGTAAACCATGCATTTGGCTATAAACGTAGGTAACTAACATACTGTGGATTGTACAGGAAGACAACATAAAGACTTTGGGTTGCCATTCAGGAGGCCTTTGAGCTCTGATGAAAGTTTCTGATCTAAGGAGTGACATAATCAGAGCTGTCTTAGGCTAACCAATAGGACTGTTACATACAAGATGAACAGAGATGTAGTTAAAGATCTGAGGGAGAATGAAAGGAAAAACACTATGGAAATAACACAGGCTGAGATAATTAATGGCTAAATTAGGATAACAGAAGTGGGAAAGGAGAGGAAGGAATGGTTAGAAGAGACACTGTGTAGGCACACCTATAAAAAAGGAAAGTAAGGAAAAGTCAAGATAACATTTCAATTCCAGTGTAAAGACTGCTAAGTCTACAAAGAAAAGTAGAATATGCAAGAACACTTGCAATTCAAGATAAGTTTGGTTTTGCCATATTAATCTGAGGTGCTACCCGATCAGAAATGCCCAGAGCCCTTGGAAACAGAAGGGCTGTTTCAGAGACTGAAGTTTAAAGTAAGGTACAGGTGATGTTGAGTAAGGCTATAAACCAGAGATTATAATCAAGCAAAGACAATAAGTATGTATAAAGGATTTCTACAAAATGGTGAAAAGTAGAATAAAAGAGGTGCAAAACTGTCTGAGATATCAGAAAAGAGAAAGATCATTTTCAGATGGAGTTTGTGGCTTGCTGGTGTGGCATGCAGAAAGACTTGCTAGATCTGGGCTAGGATTTTGGCAGACAGAGATGGAAGAAGAAGGAATTCCAGAAGAGGAGGGCATTCCAGGGGTCTGAAGAGACACAAGTAAAGACAATGAAATAGAAAAAATGCAGTTCCTGTTTGTGAAGGGATGACTAGGACACCAATGTGCTGAGAATTTTGTGTAATGTCGAGGATTAATGAGAGCGTGGGATGGAAATGGAGGGACTTATTTCTGGCTATGCCAAAATGACAACAAAATAATCAGCCAAACTGCTCTATTTAAGTCAAGCCAGCTAATGTCCATGACTAAGCTTCTGGTTAAACTCATTGTTCATTGAGTCAATGCATTCTAATGAGTAGCTCAATCGAAATATGTTCCCAATATAACCTGGTAATCTTAATTCCTTCAGTTTCAGCATCTAAAAAAATCTTAAAGCCCTACACTCTTTGAAGGCTAAAGGAGGCCCTAGAGATTATTTGGGTCAGCATTTGCCTGATGTTTCAATTGTGAACATAAGTGTCTGAAGTTTTTTGAAATTACAACTTCCATTTTGGGTCAAGGTCTTCAGACATTTTTTAATGTAAACTCTAATGGATAGAATTATTTCAGAACTACAGGGAAGAGATCTACTTGGCTTTATTAATTTTGTAAACTTGGAAAACTGTTTCATTCTTTATTAAAAAAGAAGTGCTTGAAATGCTCAAATGATGGACGGTAATCTTCCATCCCACATATTTTTACAATTAAAACTGTATTCCTGGACGCTGGTGATATAATATAAAACGAAGCTCCAATAATTCTCATGGCAGTTGCTTTCAGCAATATATGCATATAATTTAAGTAAAACATGTACCTCTATACAAATCAGGGCATCAATATCATTTGTAATGATTCCATGATTTCAAAAACTCTTCTTTTCCTCTTTCCCTAAATAGCTGATTAAAACAAAACAAAGCAAAACAAAACCAACCAACAAAACAAAACAAAAAACACACTCTGCATCCCCCAAGTGAAATGCAAATAAAATTCCCAAATGAAGAGTAGGCTGAAAGAAAACTACCTAATCCGGGAGTTTTGCCAAACTTTTATTTTAATGAACTTTATGCGGAGATACAGGAAGAACATTATGCTGGAAATGCAGAAATCAACTCAGCATTCTTGGCAGGAGTATATTTTAGCCTATAGCACAAAAAGAGTTAATCTGAAATGCAAACAGGAGCTGCATTAAATGTGCTTTGTTTGCCATTCAACGAGCTTTGTTTTAATGGCAAAGGCAATACTGAAATTGGGTGAGTACTTAAACTTTATTATGGAAATAAACGATGTTGCTCTAGAAGTCTTCCATGACAAGAAAAACATGCTGTGAGGAGTTATTGAATTTTTATTTTCCTATCCAGAACAATTCTCTGTTTGCTTGAGATTTTCAGGCCATGGTTCCACAAAATTAAATATGGCCTTCCTCCTTCTAATAGCAAAACCCCAAACAAAACTTAAACTGTGTCTTCTTTGCATGTTATAGTTAACGTGCTTTCATTACGCTTAATGTACTTTTAATAGTCTCCTATGGCAAGATGGTGATATTAAATGTGGGAATAAAATATCCATGATACAACCTTGGATTTGCTATAGTGCCTTTTATCTTAGGGCTCAAACCACTTTACACACATTCTCATTCAGTATCTCCTTGAGGTGTATTATGTGCATTTTATGGTTGAGGACACTGAGGTATACAATGACTAAGGGAATTGAGGTCATTTCCAGAGCTCACACTAAGCACAACCTGAATATGTCTCCTGCAGCAGTGAGCACTCTCTCCCTGCAGGCCAGAATGTCTCCAAAGTAGCTGCAGCACTGGCTTCTCAGGGCCAAAACCTGAGACCATCTTCACTAGTCTTTTCCTTCAGGGGATTGTCTCTCTTACCTGGACTCCATCAGATGCAGGGATGTAACTTGCCCTTTTAAATGTGTCTGTCACATTTCTGAGAATTTCCACAGACATCAGAAGATCGCCTGCATAGAAATTTTTCCTCTGAGTTAAATCCAACAGTGTCTTGGTCACCTGGGACATTCCATCACCTGCCAGCATTCTTTGCCCCTTAGCAAGGTGTTCTTTGATCTGTGATGGTCAAAAGAACAGAATGAACATCAGAATCTTCATTACTATTAATTTACGTATCTTCACCAAACAAATTTATTTAAAATTGCAGAGTCAACTTTAAAATAGCATCGCAATAGTTGGGAGGATTTCAACACTGTAAATTTTGTGTATCTCACACTCAGATGGATAAGTATCTGGCATGAAAAAACCCAACAAGTGTATACACTTTGGCAGGCGTGACAGACTTGCCTTTTCTAGTACTCAGAACACACATTAGAATGCATTGGGGAAAGTCTGTACTAATTTGAGTTTTTAACAGAAGTAAAAAAGATACTTTTGCATGTGATAAACAAGTGAGATAGTTCAGCAAGGTGTGATCAAAGACAGGAGATCATAAACATTTCAAAACATCCATTTTTCAAACTTCCAGGTAAGATGGTAGAGTAGGAAGGCCCTAAATTCACCTCGTCATTTGGATACAACTAGCTAACACCCACACCAGTGTAAATAACCCAGAAAATGACCCAAACACTGGCAGAACAAACTTTCCACAGCTAAATGTAGAGAAGAGGCTACATCAAAGAGGATGGGAAAGATCGAGACACAGGACTGTACATGGAAGGAGTTGAATAAGAGGGAGAAGAGACTGTCATACCAAGGAGCATGCACAGGGAAGATAAATCCCCATAATATTTGGCTTTGAAAACCAGAAGGCCAAATATTGAATTTCGTGAGTTCTTACAATCAGCAGTGCTTAAAACTTGGAACTGTAAATAAGTAGGAGAGCCAGGAGGGTGAGAGGAAACTGAATTCCTTCCCTTAAAGAGACAACACAACAAACAGCCCCACAGAGATACAGCAGAGAAGCAGCAGTCTGAAAAACACCTGGGGTTTACGGGAGGAAAATTTGTATACTAATCTCAGAGCTTGTGCTGGAGGGGTAGAGATAATTGGTAGACTTCCCCAGGAACAAAGGAGCTGGAATGCTCCATTTCCCTCCCATGCCTTCCAGCATAAGTATACAGCCACCTTTAGGAAACAGCTCCAGGCCAACAACACTCACTGCCCAACTTGCTAACAGTGCACCATGCCAATGCATTCTCTTGCAGACACTCTACCTCTAGCCAGGACTCCAGTCCAGCTCTCCTCCCATAGCAGAACCACACAAACCTTCCTGAGACCAGGCATTCCACCTGTGCACTTCTGCACATGTACCCCCTCCAACCCAGCCTGCCTTGGTCCCCAGCAGCTGTAGGTTCCCTCCCATTTGAACCTTGCTGGCACCACATGCCTCCTCCCACATTCTCCTTTATTTTGGTACTACTGCATCTCTGGCAAATGCCTGGCCTGAATCAACTTAAGCCCAAGGCAGTCCCAGAGTGGTCAACTAACAACACAGGGATCAAACACTGCCCATAACAGGCAAGAGAGCCATTGCAGACTATGGGACTGACGCAAAAGTGGCTCAACTACAACAGTAGGATGCACACAACACACATAGGAGATACACCTGAAGCACCAAGTTCTGGTGAACAGGGGACCTTGTAATATGACCTCTTCTACATAGGCCACTACTTTCAAAGAACAGAAGTAGTTAACTTTCCCAGTACATAGAAACAGACACAGAGAGTTAGAGAAAATGAAGAGATAGAGAAATATGTCTCAAAAGAAATAACAGGACAGAATCATAGCAAGAGACCTAAATGAAATGGAGATAAGGAATATGCTGATAGACAATTTAAAGTAATGGTCATAAAGTTACTCATGGGACTTGAGAAAAGAGTGGAGAATCTCATTGAGATCCTTAACAAAGAAACAGAAAACATAAAAAAGAACCAATCAGAGATGAAGAACTCAGTAATGAAATAAAAATTACAAAAGATGGAATAAATAGTAGACTAGAGGAAGCAGAAGAATGGATTAGTGACCTGGAGAAGAAAGACTGAATAGGAAAGAGAAAAAAAAATGAAAATAAACTTAGGGAACTCAGTCACATCATCAAGCATAATAACATTCACATTATAGGGATCCCAGAAGGAAAAGAGAGAGAAAATGGAGGCAGAATATTTATTTGAAAAAATAATAGCTGAAAACTTCCCAAATCTGGGGAAGGTAACCAAAATCTAGATCCACGGGGTACAGAGACTCCCCAACAAAATCAACCCATGGAGGTCCACACCAAGACACATAGTAATTAAAATGGCAAAAAGTAGTGATAAAGAGAGAATTTTAAAAGCAGCAAGAGAAACGAAAAGTTACATACAAGGGAAACATCATAAGGTTATACGCTGACTTTTCAGCAGAAAGTTTGTAGGCCAGAAGGGAATGCATGATATACCAAGGTGCTGAAGAAAAAAACCCCAAAAAACAAACAAAACAAAACAAAACAAAACAAACCAGCAGCCAAGAATATGCCATCCATCAAACCTGTCAATCAGAATAGAAGGAGAGATAAAAAGTTTTCCAGACAAACAGAAGTTAAAGGTATTCATGACCATGCAACCAAAACAACATGAAATGGTAAAGGGGACTTTGAGTGGAAATAAAAGACCATAAGGAGCAGTAAGAAAAGTAGGAAATATAAAAGCAGCCAAAATAAATATATCTATAAAAATAACTCAAGGGATTCACAAAATAAAAGGATGTAAAGTATGACATCATGCACATAAAACAGAGGAAGAGGAGTAAAGAATTAGTTCAAATTTAAGTTAACTTAAATTCACTTAACAGAAACTGCTATATGTAGAAGATGCTATATACAAACCTAATGGTAACCACAAATCAAAAACCAGTAATAAATATGTAAAAAAGAAAGGATTCCAAGTATATCACTAGAGAAAGCTATCTAACTCTAAGAGAAAGGAGCTAGAGAGAACAGAAAAGAACTACATAAACAACTATAAAACAAGTAACAAAATGGCAATAAGTGCACACTTGTCAATAATCACTTTGAATGAAAATGGACTAAATGCTCCAATCAAAAGACATAGGGTGATGGAATGGATAAAAAAAGCAAGGTCCATATATATGCTTCCAAAAAGAGGTTAATTTCAGACATAAAGACACATGCAGATTGAATGTGAAAGAATGGAAAAACATTTTTTATGCAAATGGCATTGAAAAGAAAGCCAGGGCAGCAACATTTATGTCAGAGAAAATAGACTTTAAACAAAGACTGTAACAAGAGACAAAGAAGAACACTATATAATGATAAAGGGAATAGTTCAACAAGAATATATATATAATAATTGTAAATATTGTACTCCACATAGAAGCACCAAAATACATAAAGCAGCTAAAAACATATAAAGGAAATAATTGATAATAATACAATAAAAGTAGGGGACTTAAAAAAATTTTTTTTTTCCAACGTTTATTTATTTTTGGGACAGAGAGAGACAGAGCATGAACGGGCGAGGGGCAGAGAGAGAGGGAGACACAGAATCGGAAACAGGCTCCAGGCTCTGAGCCATCAGCCCAGAGCCCGACGCGGGGCTCGAACTCACGGACCGCGAGATCGTGACCTGGCTGAAGTCGGACGCTTAACCGACTGCGCCACCCAGGCGCCCCAAAGTAGGGGACTTTAATATCCTCTTGCATCAATGGGCAGATTATCCAAGCAGAAGATCAACAAGGAAACAGTGGCTTGTAATGATACATTGATACATTGGACCTGATTGACCTAACAGATATATTCAGAAGATTCCATCCTAAAACAGCAGAATATACAGTCTTTCACATGCACATGGAACATTCCAAAAGAGATTACCTATTAGGTCACAAAACAAGTCTCAACAAATTAAAAAAGATCAAAGTCATACCATGCATCTTTTCTGATCACAATGCTATAGAAATAGGAATCAACCACAAGAAAAATCTGGAGAAACACAAATACAGGTTAAATAACATGCTACTAAACAATGAATGGGCCAACCAAGAAACCAAAGAAGAGGAAAAAAAAAGATGGAGACAAATGAAAATGAAAACAAAATGGTCCAAAATCAGTTCTAGGAGGAAAGTTTAAAGCAATACAGGCCTCAAGAAGCAAGAAAAAGCTCAATTAAACAATCTAACTTTACACCTAATGAAACTTGAAAAAAAAAAGAACAAACAAAACCCCAAACCAGAAGAAGGAAGCAAATAATAAAGATTAGAGTGGAAATAAACAAACTAGAAACTTAAAAAAGGAAAAAAAATAGAACAAATCAATGAAACTAGGAGCTTGTTCTTGGAAAGATCAACAAAATTGATAAACTTTTCAGCATACTCATTAAAAAAAAAAGAGAGAACTTAATAAAATCAGAAATGAAAGAGGAGAAATAAAAACTGACATCATAGAAACACAAAGGATTATAAGAGAATATTACAGAAATTATATGTCAACAAATTGGACAACCTAGAAGAAATAGATAAATTCATAGAAACATATAAACTCCTAAAACTGAATCAAGAAGAAATAGAAAATTTGAACAGAGCAATTACCAGCAATGAAACTCAAACAAACACAAGTCCTGAACCAGATGACTTTACAGGTGAATGCTATCAAATATTTAAAGAAGAGTTAATACCTATTGTTTTCAAACTATTCCAAAACAATGGAAGAGGTAGGAAAGCTTCCAAATTCATTCTATGAGGCTGGAATTAGTCTAATACTGAAACCAAATAAAGACACCGCAAAAAAAGAGAACTATGGGTCATTATCTCTGATGGACATAGATGCAAACATTCTCAACAAAACATTAACTGGCCAAATACAACAATACATTAAAAAGAATAATTCAAGTGGTTCAAGTGGGATCAAGTGGGGTTTAGTCCAGGGATGCACACGTGGCTCAGTATTCACAAATCAATCAACATCACATTGATTGATATTGATAAATCACATCAATAAAATAAAGGAAAAAAACATATGATCATCTCAATGGATGCAGAAATAGCTTTTAACAAAGTACAACATTCATTCATGATAAAAACCCACAACTACGTATGTTTAAGGGGACATACCTCAAAATAATAAA